CGCCAGAGGTCGCCGTCGCCGATCACATCTCTGAGGACACGGCGCGCGGTGCGCAGGGAGGGTAGGTTATGGTCTGGAGGAACACATGGGCTAATTTTTACCCCGGGAACGCGGGCAAAGCCAGTAGCAGAAGATAGTAAATAATGTAAATAAGTAATCTTAATATAATTTAGAGAATTAGACTCTTATTTCGTGCCTGATTAGGTACTTATTCGTTGAAAAGGCTTTTAAAATACTTACGTTTACTTTTTAAATTAATTTATGCATTTTTAGAGTACCTAAAACAATAATGCCTTTTATATAAAATACTTATTAATAATTCAATTCATTCAAATTTACTGAGAAATCGAAACTGTGTAAACAAAAGTGCTAAAAGCAGTAATTAGCGTGGCTGATTCTGTAAATGTTTTCAGAAAATTATTAGACACTAGCTGCTTTCGGCCCAGCGGCTACGCCGCGTCCTCATATTTTAAATAATTCTTTCAATATTTGAATAATTATTTATGTGTTGGATAGTGTATGATGATAAGCCAAAAACATAATAATTAATCTAGTATGTCTCACGAAATTTATAATAACAACAACATAACATCACGCCTTTTATCCCCGAAGGGTAGGCCCTGCCTACCCCTTCGCATTGTGCATTACGGCACTTAATGCCACTGTGTAATGTGACACCCACTTTTCACTATTTATGTTATGAGCCCCATGTAATAGGGGGTGAGCTTATTGCCATACCGGGCATATTTCCAGAATCCGTGCTACTTACTATTGACAAAAAATCCAGTAATAATTTGCCTGACTCGAGACTCGATTCCGAGACCCCTTGCCCAGCAGTCACACTTGCAACCACTCGGCCAACGAGGATCAATTATTTTTCAAAAAGTAGCCTTCGTTCTTCTTTCTACTCCCAACGTTTACAAAACACTAAAATATTTGCAAAGAAGGTTGGTCGAGTAGATAAACAATAAACAACTTACACTAATTGGAATTATTGTCTTTTCCACATTCTATTAAATGTGGGAGACCCATGCTTCGGCACGAATGGGCCGGCTCGACCGGAGTGACATCACCGCCTCACAGAAGACCGACGTGAAACAACGCTTGCGTTGTGTTTCGTCGTGTGAGTGAGGTTACCGGAGGCCAAATGACGGGGCGTTAATCGATCTATCTAGGTTCTATTTTCAGAAAATGTCGTTTTTTCCATATTTTCATTGCATAAACATCGTTATTCGATATGAACGAAGCTTTGCCTAATACAATGTAAAGTTAAAATAGCTTAGTAGGGAAAGCGGACACCTTCTATACAGCAGCTGTAGCCAAATGCCATTTAGCGCTTGTCTACATGTACTTAAAATAGAAAACCAAATTATATGGAATTGACGTCAATTTTGACACTTGTCAGTTGTCAGTGTCATCCACATACATTTTGATTTCTACTCTCTCTGTAGACAAGTGGCGTTTGGCTAAAGGCACAGGACATCCGAGTTCAAATCTGGGATAGAAACTTTCTTTTATGTTTTTCTGTTTTGCCCTTTTTTCTATATTTTTTTTTCCTAAAAACAATTAGGAACTAAAAAACCATCGAGCAAAACTCGGTCATACAGGTACTTAGTACTTAACTGAACTATCTAAGAACATAACATAACATAACATCACGCCTTTTATCCCAGAAGGGGTAGGCAGAGGTGCACATTATACCACTGTACAATGTAACACCCACTTTTCACTATTTATGTTATGAGTCCCATGTAATAGGGGGTGAGCCTATTGCCATATACCGGGCACAATTAAAGACTCCGTGCTACGATTGAGAATATTTAAAAACCCAGTAATATTTTGCCCGACCCGGGAATCGAACCCGAGACCCCTTGCCCGGCAGTCGCACTTACGACCACTCGACCAACGAGGCAGTCGGCCAACAGAGGTCGTGATTATATTTATAAGTATCTATGAATAGCTATGAAAATAATCACATGTTTTTTTTATAGGATAAGTCATTTATATACAAACGATTAGCCGAACGATCACCTAATGGTAAGCGATCTGTGCCGCCCACCAGTGGCGTGCACAGGTTTTCGAGACAGGGTAGGCAACTAAATATCGTATGATTAAACCCCTCCCCCCCGCCGGTCATACAATCATGCTCACACAAGATAGGTACATGTACATAATATATTTTGAAAAGTGCGTTCAAGAATATTGTGGTGTATTGTTTCGCCAAATTACATACACTGACATCTCGCGTATTTTT